CTGCTGGTGGACTAACCGGAGAGAATTACAGTGCTTGCCTCGACGGGGAGGGATTGCATTGAATTAAAGCAGCGGGAGCAAACGCTTGCCTCGGGGAGGGAGAAAGAAAGCCACAGCGGAGAATAAACAGAAGGGTAACCATGGTAACTATGGGCGGGAAGTCTTCTTCGCTGCTTTTGTGGCAGACTTCAGCGCCACTTACAGGCCTGGCATATGTACTACAGCGTCTCCAGCGCTTTCGAGCGGCAATGGCCGTGGCTGTCTCCTCCTGATTGGTGGAGTTGGCCCAATAGCCGTAGCGCCACCGTCCTGACGTCAGGACAGTGTTCAAATCTGGATCAGTTTTTATCAGATCCGTTGCAGCCCCTTTTTTAGAGATTTGGGTATGGAGGAAAATAGAGAGGGTTGTGTTTTCTGACACTTGGTGAGTTCCCTGGAACACCGGGGACACATATTCATGTAGAAAAGACGTACACAAGTGCATTTTGCATGATAGGTCCCCTTTAAGTAATATAAGTATTTGTTACCTGCAGTCTCTTTTCACAGAGTGCATGTCCTGCTGTGTGCTATAACCTTCATCTATGTAAACACGTTCCTGTGACAGCAGTGTGACGTTTACAAGGTTTTAGTTTGTGTTTTAATATTCATTTATATTCATATTTGCAGATATCAAGGACTCCCTGATGCAGGCGCTGGCGAGCTACGTCTGTTACCCACAATCCCTCAGGGCGGTGGAGCGAATCCCAGAGGAACAGTGAGTGATTACTACTATTCCCAGTAATACAGATGTTCATGAACATTAAGGTAATCAATACATTCATTTCTAAATCCTTCTGATTATTATTAATATATTTAATTTATATTTTGTTTTATTAAGTTTTCTAATTATTTAATAATATTTATGAAAAGAAGTCCACATGTTAAAAGTGTAAAATAAACCACAGTAGACGATATATTAATTATTTTAATACTTATATATATATATATATATATATAGAATAATATATAGAATAATTATTCTATATAATAATTGTATATATTGAAAACGTAATATGATACGTTTTCCTGCAGGCGTGAGGCGATGACGATTTAATGTACCATTACTTTATTATTTTATAACATTAAGATAATCTATTAGGATGTAACGATATACCCAATATCGCGATAAAGAAATGTCTCGATGCCGTCGTGAGACTGACAAAATCTACCGCGATGTTACATGGTTCATTCTTTTTCTTTAAACCTTTATTGAAGCAGGTGGTCCCGTTGACCTCTCGTCAAGAGAGACCTGTCCAACATGGCAGCAAGTAGGTTACAACATGAACATAGAACAACAGATAACACGAAAGGACATCGTATTTACTATCTGTGGCTTTTATTTTGAAAAACCAGCCTTGTTCTTAGCTTCCTGTTAGTATACTGTTATTTTCTTGGGCTTTTATTTTGAAATAATAACCTTCTCTAAAACTCCCTGTTAGGATACCGTTACTCTGTGAGGGTTTTATTTAGAAAACTAGCCTCATCTTAAGCTTCCTGTTAGTGTACAGTAGCTTTCTAGGGCTTTTATTTTGAAAAAAGCCTTATCCTGAGCTTTCTGTTACATTTATTATGTTGCTTTTATTTTGAAAAACAAGCCTTGTTTAGAACTCCCTGTAAGGATACCGTTAATCTGTGAGGGTTTTATTTTGAAAGACTAGCCTCATCATACGCTCATCTTGCTTTTATTTTGAAAAAAGCCTTATCCCGAGCTTTTTGTAACAAAACATTTACTATCTTCGGCTTTTATTATGAAAAACAAGCCTTGTTCTTAGCTTCCTGTTAGTGTCATGTATTTACAGGGCTACATGTACATACCTAGAGACATTGACAAGTACCAACAGTATAGTATATCTCGCCCTGTCAATGAGCCTCACCTTCTTGGCAACACCTGTATTGTGTTTGAAGTGGTGGAGAGACAATGCACAGTTTGACCCACTGCTGGCACCCATGGACAAAGCATATCTCTCTGTCCCAGCACCATCAGTACCAAGAGAGAGAGTCCTTTCCACAGCAGGGGGTTTTGTAAACGCCCAAACATCCCAGCTTCTACCTGGAAATGTGGGCATGCTCATATTCCTAAAGACCTGTCTGATGAAGCTGAGTGAGTGACTTAGTGAGTTTGAGTTGAGCTTCTTGGAAAACTAAAGTGAAGATTTATTTGATTGCGGGGTCTGATTATTAAATGTCCTTGTTTATTTGTGAGGTGCAGTGGCACAAAGACAATGCCTGCTTTGTTTGGTAGTGTCAGTAGGTAAGAAAACACTAGTTGTTCTTGTTCCAGTCTGTTACTGTCACTTTGACATTTTAAAATACTACTATCCTGCTATCCTGCTGTAGTCTGTATCCTGCTGTAGTCTGTATCCTGCTGTAGTCTGTATCCTGCTGTAGTCTGTATCCTGCTGTAGTCTGTGTCCTGCTGTAGTCTGTATCCTGCTGTAGTCTGTGTCCTGCTGTAGTCTGTGTCCTGCTGTAGTCTGTGTCCTGCTGTAGTCTGTATCCTGCTGTAGTCTGTATCCTGCTGTAGTCTGTATCCTGCTGTAGTCTGTATCCTGCTGTAGTCTGTATCCTGCTGTAGTCTGTGTCCTGCTGTAGTCTGTATCCTGCTGTAGTCTGTATCCTGCTGTAGTCTGTATCCTGCTGTAGTCTGTATCCTGCTGTAGTCTGTGTCCTGCTGTAGTCTGTGTCCTGCTGTAGTCTGTGTCCTGCTGTAGTCTGTATCCTGCTGTAGTCTGTGTCCTGCTGTAGTCTGTGTCCTGCTGTAGTCTGTATCCTGCTGTAGTCTGTATCCTGCTGTAGTCTGTATCCTGCTGTATCCTGCTGTAGTCTGTATCCTGCTGTATCCTGCTGTAGTCTGTATCCTACTGTAGTCTGTATCCTGCTGTAGTCTGTGTCCTGCTGTAGTCTGTATCCTGCTGTAGTCTGTATCCTGCTGTAGTCTGTATCCTGCTGTAGTCTGTATCCTGCTGTAGTCTGTATCCTGCTGTAGTCTGTATCCTGCTGTATCCTGCTGTAGTCTGTATCCTGCTGTAGTCTGTATCCTGCTGTAGTCTGTGTCCTGCTGTAGTCTGTATCCTGCTGTAGTCTGTGTCCTGCTGTAGTCTGTGTCCTGCTGTAGTCTGTGTCCTGCTGTAGTCTGTATCCTGCTGTAGTCTGTGTCCTGCTGTAGTCTGTGTCCTGCTGTAGTCTGTGTCCTGCTGTAGTCTGTATCCTGCTGTAGTCTGTGTCCTGCTGTAGTCTGTATCCTGCTGTAGTCTGTGTCCTGCTGTAGTCTTGTATCCTGCTGTAGTCTGTATCCTGCTGTAGTCTGTATCCTGCTGTAGTCTGTATCCTGCTGTAGTCTGTGTCCTGCTGTAGTCTGTGTCCTGCTGTAGTCTGTATCCTGCTGTAGTCTGTGTCCTGCTGTAGTCTGTATCCTGCTGTAGTCTGTGTCCTGCTGTAGTCTGTATCCTGCTGTAGTCTGTATCCTGCTGTAGTCTGTATCCTGCTGTAGTCTGTATCCTGCTGTAGTCTGTATCCTGCTGTAGTCTGTATCCTGCTGTAGTCTGTATCCTGCTGTACAAATCAGATTTATTATTTTCTTTATTTTTCAATATTGCGATAAATATCGTCCCGTGAGTTTTTGGTATCGTCACATCCCTATAATCTATACATTAATTACTAGCTTTCTAATGATTTAATAATATAGATGTACAGAAGACCACATGTTCAAATTGTAAAATTAACCCCACTAGACAACATATTAATTGTTAAATATAATAATGTAATACATTGTGTTGTGCAGGCGCGTGGCGATGATGAGAAACCTGCTCGCCCCCTACGAGCAGCGGCCCTGGGCTCAGACCAACTGGATCCTGGTGCGCCTCTGGAGGGTGAGACAACCTCAGAAACTACATTTCCCATCAGCCCCAGCTCCACTCGGGCTCCAGTTTATTTAATACAGGAACGGATAGCAAACATAACTAGAGAATGCAATTCCTGAAGAAATTGCTAGTGGGAATGCTTTATGCTGAAAAGCTGACGCTAAACTGCTATGCTGAAATGTAATGTGTAAGAAGAAAGTGAAGCATTTAGATTGAAATTATACATGAACACTGAGTGAGTGAGTGAGAGAGAGAGAGAGAGGGAGAGGGAGAGTGAGAGTGTGAGAGAGAGAGAGAGTGAGAGTGAGAGTGAGAGTGAGAGTGAGAGAGAGAGAGAGAGAGAGAGAGAGGTGAGAGAGAGAGTGAGAGAGAGTGAGAGAGAGTGAGAGAGAGTGAGAGAGTGAGAGAGTGAGAGAGAGAGAGAGAGAGAGAGAGAGAGAGAGAGAGAGAGAGAGAGAGATTCCCCCCATTACACAGGTGTTTATAGTTGAGCTAACGAGCTCTGTAGAGATCAAAGGTTTGCATTGTTCTGAATGAGAGATGAACCTCTTACATGTGAACGTTTTGTCGAAGAACCATAACAGATATCTGTGAAATTTCAAAACGTGAAGCATGTCAAGGAAGTTGAGTATTTGAAGTGTAATTTTTGTGTACTTTCGGGTTAATAATGTGGCCTTTTTGGCAGTTTAACTAAAGGTGTGCGGCTGCTGCTGTGAGGAAATATCAGCCTGAAATTACAATGGGCTTTAATGGAGACATGTTGAACGTTTTTGTCACTTCATGCCCTCAAGAGGCATTTTGTTTAATTATTTGTCATTTTTCAAGCTACGAGATGTTTTCCTACATTTCTCATGAAAAATTATGTCTCAGGAATGTAGGGTGTGGGAATTATGGCAGTTTTTTAAAAAAAATATGAAGGCAAATTTCAAGATTTCCTACCCTCTAGCTGTGACATCACGCACTCTAGTTAATGTTACAATCTGAAGAAAGCCTCTTTACCAAGGTCTGAACAATGTTTAATATCTCTAAAAGTAAGAATCAGATTTAAAAGTTGTGTTACACGAATAATGTCAGAAAGATGTGCAACATTTTAAAGTTGGAATGAGGTTTCTGAGTGAAAGTATGAATGAACAGTTAGCAGTTGAAGTCGCATGAAGATTGTTCAAGTCTGAAGATGTTCTCCATTGACTTCAATGGTTAAAAATGTGATGAATTATGGGATGTATCTCTGGAATTATGAAAGTTATGAATAATCCAAATGATAGCCATCGATTCCCGACCGAGCTGAACGCTTTGATGTTTGAACGGAGTTTCTGCGATGTTGAATGCAGGAGGAGAAGAGGTGCAAAATTCCGGCGGAATAATAATAATTTTGTCCGTAGAATAACATATAGTGGGAATGCTGTATCAGCATTCCCACTAAACAAATGATATTCAGAGCAGGAGGCAAATCCTGATCCTGATCTTTTGTTACAATACATTCACTATCTGTGGCTTTTATTTTGAAAAAAGCCTTATCCTGAGCTCTTTATTACAAAACATTTACTATCTGTGGCTTTTATTTTGAAAAACCAGCCTTGTTCTTAGCTTCCTGTTAGTATACTGTTATTTTCTTGGGCTTTTATTTTGAAATAATAACCTTCTCTAAAACTCCCTGTTAGGATACCGTTACTCTGTGAGGGTTTTATTTAGAAAACTAGCCTCATCTTAAGCTTCCTGTTAGTGTACAGTAGCTTTCTAGGGCTTTTATTTTGAAAAAAGCCTTATCCTGAGCTTTCTGTTACATTTATTATGTTGCTTTTATTTTGAAAAACAAGCCTTGTTTAGAACTCCCTGTAAGGATACCGTTAATCTGTGAGGGTTTTATTTTGAAAGACTAGCCTCATCATACGCTCATCGTGCTTTTATTTTGAAAAAAGCCTTATCCCGAGCTTTTTGTAACAAAACATTTACTATCTTCGGCTTTTATTATGAAAAACAAGCCTTGTTCTTAGCTTCCTGTTAGTGTACCGTTACTTTATTGGGCTTTTATTTTGAAAAACACGCCTCATCCTTAACTTCCTGTTAATATACACTTCGGATAAAGTTACCATCTGGGGCTTTTATTTTGAAAAAACAAGCCTCGTCCTTCACTATTTGCAACATTAAAGTGAATTTTAAAATGATGCATCAATAAATAATAACCCTGAATCAACTACAACAACAACAACCACAACAACCACAACAACAACAGTAAACTTTATGTGTGCGGTTGTTTTTCAGGGCTGTGGTTTCGGCTACAGATACACTCGTCTTCCTCACCTTCTGAAGACCAAACCAGAGGACGCCAACCTGCCCAGCCTACAGAGTACGTGTGTGTGTGTGTGTGTGTGTGTGTGTGTGTGTGGTGTGTGTGTGTGTGTGTGGGTGTGTGTGTGTGTGTGTGTGTTGTGTGTGTGTGTGTGTGTGTGTGTGTGTGTGTGTGTGTGTGTTTTCTCGCTGTAGGTCCTCCTGTTTACCTTCATGAATCTCCATAAATAAATTGAGGCCGTGGCTACAGAGGGTTTATTTTAACTGCATCTCTGTTTGATTTACGGCTTTAATTATCTGTGTGTGTGGAGGCGTGTGGTGCAGTGGTTCAAACCCCACTGCAGTCAGCATGTCGTTGTGTCCCTGAGACACTTCACCCCAAAGTGCTCCTGTGGGGATTGACCACAGTATTGAGTATGTAAGTCGCTTTGGATAAAAGCGTCTAACAAGTAGTGTGTGTGTGTGGTGGGTGTGTGTGTGTGTGTGTGTGGTGTGGGTGTGTGTGGGTGTGTGTGTGTGGTGTGTGGTGGTGTGTGTGGTGTGTGTGGTGTGTGTGTGTGTGTGTGTGTGTGTGTGTGTGGTGTGTGTGTGTGTGTGTGTGTGTGTGTGTGTGTGTGTGTGTGTGTGTGTGTGTGTGTGTGTGTGTGTGTGTGTGATAGTTCAGTCAGACACAACATCTATTAGAAGCTAGAAGAATATTTAATCTCAGCCTCATAAGATTACTTTGCAATTATCCAAAACCACATGGAGGAATCCCATTGGACGAGGGAGACGCTGCCTTCAGGGACCAGCACAGAAACACTCTGTGTTCTAACTGAGATGATAATTGCCCTTTGTGAGGCGTGTCATCGTCCTCTGCTCCCTCTTCATCTCCCTCTCTGACTCTCTGCATGATCGTTGCTCTGCTTCTCCTCTGCCTCTCAGGAGATCTGTCCGTTGCTAGTTTCCAAAGTAAGTTCAGTTTCCATGGCCCTCCCTCCTGCTCCTCCTGCTCCTCCTCCTCCGGCTCCTCCTCCTCCGGCTCCACCCCAAAGACCCTCAGACTCATGAAGGCTCTGATTTGCTTATACTGTATATCAAAGTATGAGTTTATACTCTCAACAAAGTGCGTCTGCTTAATGAAATCAGACGATTCATTATAAGTAATAAGTGGTAGGGATTTCACTTTGATTAATTCTGAGAAAAACAGAGATACTTCAGTGAACTTGTTTAAAATACAGGCTGGTTCTGTAAAGAACAAGTAGAAGTACTCAGATCTTGTACTTGAGTAAAAGTAGAAGTACTCAGATCTTGAGTAAAAGTAGAAGTACTCAGATCTTGTACTTGAGTAAAAGTACAAGTACTCAGATCTTGAGTAAAAGTACAAGTACTCAGATCTTGAGTAAAAGTAGAAGTACTCAGATCTGGTACTTGAGTAAAAGTAGAAGTACTCAGATCTTGTACTTGAGTAAAAGTAGAAGTACTCAGATCTTGAGTAAAAGTAGAAGTACTCAGATCTTGAGTAAAAGTAGAAGTACTCAGATCTGGTACTTGAGTGAAAGTAGAAGTACTCAGATCTTGTACTTGAGTAAAAGTAGAAGTACTCAGATCTTGTACTTGAGTAAAAGTAGAAGTACTCAGATATTGTACTTGAGTAAAAGTAGAAGTACTCAGATATTGTACTTGAGTAAAAGTAGAAGTACTCAGATCTTGTGCTTGAGTAAAAGTAGAAGTACTCAGATATTGTACTTGAGTAAAAGTAGAAGTACTCAGATCTTGTACTTGAGTAAATCTACTTATTTACTTGACAACACTGGATTTAATGAACACTCAGCTCTTCCTCTGTCCCCTTTAATCCGTGTCCCTCTCTTGTCCCTCTCCTGTCCCTCTCTTGTCCCTCTCTTGTCCCTCTCTTGTCCCTCTCTTGTCCCTCTCTTGTCCCTCTCTTGTCCCTCTCTGGTCCCTCTCCTGTCCCTCTCCTGTCCCTCTCTGGTCCCTCCTCTTGTCCCTCTCCTGTCCCTCTCCTTGTCCCTCTCCTCTTGTCCCTCTCTTGTCCCTCTCCTGTCCCTCTCTCGTCCCTCTCTTGTCCCTCTCTTGTCCCTCTCCTGTCCTCCTCTCCTGTCCCTCTCTTGTCCTTCTCTTGTCCCTCTCTTGTCCTCTCTGTCCCTCTTGTCCCTCTCTTGTCCCTCTCCTGTCCCTCTCTGTCCCTCTCTGTCCCTCTCCTGTCCCTCTCTTGTCCCTCTCCTGTCCCTCTCTTGTCCCTCTCTTGTCCCTCTCTTGTCCCTCTCTTGTCCCTCTCCTGTCCCTCTCCTGTCCCTCTCTTGTCCCTCTCTTGTCCCTCTCTTGTCCCTCACTTGTCCCTCTCTTGTCCCTCTCTGGTCCCTCTCTGGTCCCTCTCTTGTCCCTCTCTCGTCCCTCTCATGTCCCTCTCTTGTCCCTCTCTTGTCCCTCTCTTGTCCCTCTCCTGTCCCTCTCTCATCCCTCTCATGTCCCTCTCTTGTCCCTCTCCTGTCCCTCTCTTGTCCATCTCTTGTCCCTCTCTTGTCCCTCTCTTGTCCCTCTCCTGTCCCTCTCCTGTCCCTCTCCTGTCCCTCTCCTGTCCCTCTCCTGTCCCTCTCTTGTCCCTCTCCTGTCCCTCTCCTGTCCCTCTCTTGTCCCTCTCCTGTCCCTCTCTTGTCCCTCTCTTGTCCCTCTCCTGTCCCTCTCTTGTCCCTCTCTTGTCCCTCTCTTGTCCCTCTCCTGTCCCTCTCTTGTCCCTCTCTTGTCCCTCTCCTGTCCCTCTCTTGTCCCTCTCTTGTCCCTCTCTTGTCCCTCTCTTGTCCCTCTCTTGTCCCTCTCTTGTCCCTCTCTTGTCCCTCTCCTGTCCCTCTCTTGTCCCTCTCCTGTCCCTCTCTTGTCCCTCTCTTGTCCCTCTCTTGTCCCTCTCTTGTCCCTCTCCTGTCCCTCTCTTGTCCCTCTCTTGTCCCTCTCTTGTCCCTCTCCTGTCCCTCTCTTGTCCCTCTCCTGTCCCTCTCTTGTCCCTCTCCTGTCCCTCTCTTGTCCCTCTCTTGTCCCTCTCTTGTCCCTCTCTTGTCCCTCTCCTGTCCCTCTCTTGTCCCTCTCCTGTCCCTCTCTTGTCCCTCTCCTGTCCCTCTCTTGTCCCTCTCTTGTCCCTCTCTTGTCCCTCTCTTGTCCCTCTCTTGTCCCTCTCTTGTCCCTCTCCTGTCCCTCTCTTGTCCCTCTCTGTCCCTCTCTTGTCCCTCTCCTGTCCCTCTCTTGTCCCTCTCTTGTCCCTCTCCTGTCCCTCTCCTGTCCCTCTCCTGTCCCTCTCTTGTCCCTCTCTTGTCCCTCTCCTGTCCCTCTCTTGTCCCTCTCTTGTCCCTCTCCTGTCCCTCTCTTGTCCCTCTCCTGTCCCTCTCTTGTCCCTCTCCTGTCCCTCTCTTGTCCCTCTCTTGTCCCTCTCTTGTCCCTCTCTTGTCCCTCTCTGTCCCTCTCTTGTCCCTCTCCTGTCCCTCTCTTGTCCCTCTCCTGTCCCTCTCTTGTCCCTCTCTTGTCCCTCTCCTGTCCCTCTCCTGTCCCTCTCCTGTCCCTCTCTTGTCCCTCTCCTGTCCCTCTCTAGAGGGGAAATAATAAAGTAAAAACGAAATAAATATCAGTGGGACAGTGATGAACCCAGGACTTCGACTTCTTCTTCTTCTGTGGACTCGCTGTTCACCTTGTCTTTTCCTCCTGCTCTCTGATTGGTCCTCCTCTCCCCCCTCTCCTCTGATTGGTGCAGAGCCGTGCCCCTCGCTGCTGCTTCAGAGACACATGGCGGAGCTGCTGAGCGTCGATAAAGAAATGGCCGCCTCGTTCCTGAACAGCGTCTTGAACCAGCTCAACTGGGCCTTCAGCGAGTTCATCGGCATGATCCAAGAGGTGGGTGTTATTGTCATTATTATTATTATTGTTGTTGTTGTTGTTGTTATGACTGTAAACACATATCTATAATACCTGTATCTTCCTGTTTCAGATCCAGCAGGCTGCAGAGCGTCCAGAGAGGAACTTTGTGGACACTCGTCAGCTGAAGGTCAATAACATCACTAACGATCAAACCAATTAAATGCTACAGGGAAATCTGACATGTGACTATCATCCAAAACGTAATATGTTAATTAAGATGTGAGTGTGTGTGTGCAGGTGTGTGCCACGTGCTTTGATCTGTCCGTCAGTCTGCTCCGGGTTCTGGAGATGACAGTGACTCTGGTTCCTGAGATCTTCCTGGACTGGACCCGACCGTCTGCAGAGCTGCTGCTGCGGAGACTCGCTCAGGTAAACACACCAGAGGCCTGTACTACGAAGCCGGATGTTCTCTTAGCGAACTTCAGGGTAAACTCTGGGTTTCCGGTCCTACGACGCTGGTTCTCTTTTTAGCGGGCTAGATCTCCATGGTAACTGATGCTGAGCGGCTAACCTGGTCCGGAGCAGGTTAGGTTGCAGGCTAAGAGATCAACTCAGTGAAAGCACCGCCTGCTGACCAATCAGAGCTCACCGCCTGCTGACCAATCAGAGCTCCGTGTGCAGAGTTTAAAGCTATTAAGCTGGATTCGTAGTACAGGCCTCTTGACTCAGATAAAACCCACCTGGACTCAGGTTAAACACACCTGGACTCAGGTAAACGCACACCTGGACTCAGGTAAACACACCTGGACTCAGGTAAAACGCACCTGGACTCAGGTTAAACGCACACCTGGACTCAGGTTAAACACACCTGGACACAGGTGTGGACTCAGATAAAACACACCTGGACTCAGGTTAAACGCACCTGGACTCAGGTTAAACACACCTGGACTCAGGTAAAACGCACCTGGACTCAGGTTAAACACACCTGGACTCAGGTAAACGCACCTGGACTCAGGTTAAACACACCTGGACTCAGGTAAAACGCACCTGGACTCAGGTCAAACACACCTGGACTCAGGTAAAACACACCTGGACTCAGGTCAAACGCACCTGGACTCAGGTTAAACGCACCTGGACTCAGGTAAAACACACCTGGACTCAGATAAAACACACCTGGACTCAGGTGTGGACTCAGGTAAAACGCACCTGGACTCAGGTGTGGACTCAGGTAAAACGCACCTGGACTCAGGTGTGGACTCAGGTAAAACGCACCTGGACTCAGGTAAAACGCACCTGGACTCAGGTTAAAACGCACCTGGACTCAGGTAAACACACCTGGACTCAGGTCAAACGCACCTGGACTCAGGTTAAACGCACCTGGACTCAGGTAAAACACACCTGGACTCAGATAAAACACACCTGGACTCAGGTGTGGACTCAGGTAAAACGCACCTGGACTCAGGTGTGGACTCAGGTAAAACGCACCTGGACTCAGGTAAAACGCACCTGGACTCAGGTAAAACGCACCTGGACTCAGGTTAAACGCACCTGGACTCAGGTAAAACGCACCTGGACTCAGGTCAAACGCACCTGGACTCAGGTAAAACGCACCTGGACTCAGGTTAAACGCACCTGGACTCAGGTTAAAACACACCTGGACTCAGGTAAAACACACCTGGACTCAGGTTAAACACACCTGGACTCAGGTTAAACACACCTGGACTCAGGTAAAACACACCTGGACTCAGATAAAACACACCTGGACTCAGATTAAACACACCTGGACTCAGAGGTAAAACACACCTGGACTCAGGTAAAACACACCTGGACTCAGAGGTAAAACACACCTGGACTCAGGTAAAACGCACCACAAGGTGTAAAAGCATCTGTAAGAAGATTCACTTTTCTCTCATAGGCCTGCTGTTACCTCGTGACCTCATCTCATTTCAGCTCATTTTAGCATTTCTAATTCACCTGTCCTCCTCTCACCTGTCCTTCTCTCACCTGTCCGTATGCAGCTGCTGAACCAGGTGTTGAACCGAGTGACGGCCGAGAAGAATCTCTTCGATCGAGTCGTCAACCTGAGACTGCCAGGTGAGTTTATTTCACCAGAATCATTTCATTATAATATATTTAAGGGCTCAAAACATTATTATTAGTAATATAATGTGTATTATGCTCAGGGCTGGAGGCTGTGATATTAGTAGTAGTAGTAGTAGTAGTAGCAGTAGTAGTAGTAGTAGCAGTAGCAAGCAGCAGTAGTAGTAGAAAGTAGTAGTAGTAGTAGCAGTGGCAAGCAGCAGTAGTAGTAGTAGTAGTAGCAGTAGTAGTAGTAGCAGTAGTAGTAGTAGTAGTAGTAGTAGTAGTAGTAGTAGAAACAGTAGTAGTAGTAGTAGTAGTAGTAGCAGTAGTAGTAGTAGTAGTAGTAGTAGTAGTAGAGTAGAGTAGCAAGTAGTGTAGTAGTAGTAGCAG